TGAAAGTGAAAACGTCTTTATAACAGATGGAAGGCTGCCATGTGAGCAATGGGAAACAACAATGCAATGAAGTGATACACCCAAAGGTAAGTGAAATGAAAAAAAACATCATATAAAAGTAGTCATTTCTAGCTAACACCCATATGTTCAAAGTGTACAAATTTTCCGAGACTAAGCTCTTAATCGGCTTGTTCAAAGATTTGGCCGCGAGTAATGCAGTGATCGGAGATGTCGTTTCGAGTCGACAATGCTGTCTCGGACCTGCTCTTCACTTTGTATTAACTGGATCATGGTGTCCTTGTAGAAATGCCATTGCCTGCTTTCTTCTTCCTCGAAAAATCGAGACTGAAAATTTTGTATCAAAGATATAGTTATAACATTTTGAAATATGCGAATGAAAAATGAATCAAGAGTAAGAGCGAAAGTAATAGAAAACAACATCTCAAAGTCTCTAATCATCAAAACAATTATGCAAAGTTGCTGTAACTTTGAACACAACGAGGAATACAAGTTTAGTTTGGATTTTAAAATAACTATAACTTTCGAGCTATAAAGGTTAGTTTTTCCCCATACAACATGAAAAACCTGTAACAACTTCTTTGAAACCGCTCTCCGTAAATGTCAGTTCACAGAAAGGTGTTATCTTTACAATCAATAGATAAAATAATGACTTGCAAAAGCACAAGAAAGTGTCAAAAGATGGTTCAAACAAACCATGGCACACTCCAGGTCCCTTTCTCTGCGAGCGTACGTTAGTCGAAGGAAATTTACATCAGCGAGTCTTCGTCGAAGCCGTGACTCCTCCAAGAGTGCCTCGGTCTAGACAAAAACTTTTAGCCAATCATGTACAGAACTGGAGATTTTTTCCAAAAATAAATTGAGGTTTTGCACTCACTTGATCTCCTCCATTACGAATATGTTCTACCACCTTAGTCATAAGACATCTTAACTTCATTTCGAAGCGTAAGAGTTCTTTAAAATGCTCGAGATGTCGCCGAACCTAAAGAGATATTTATCCTTTTTTCTTGCAGTCACTACTATCATTGTTTGAGGATCAATGGAAAGCACCTTGTTAGCCAACGATGGATCGTGTTTCTCAATGATACTGAGAAGGTACTCTCCATTTCGTTCATTTGTGGCCATATCATCTCCAATGGCCGTCCTTTCATCTTCATAGTCACACAACCGTCGATTCACAGAACCGATTGACTGAATGCATAAAGATTTAGTTGTGCAAAACTTCGAGAACACTCTTTAAAAGGAAAAAAGTTGAAAAAATTGATTTAAACATCGTAAATTTCACGAGGATATGAGCATGCACACTAAATAAAATGCAACAGACGTTTAGAAAATTATAAGTCAACCCAACAATTTGCATTACGTTGTACGTCTAGGAGCAAATAAAGAAAATGTCTCATAAAGCAAACATGCGAAGTAATCAACTGCACTGAAAATTAGTAAAATCACCTCAATTCGTTGTTCATCTAATTTCCTCAACTCCCGGGACTCCAGTTCGGATATATCAGAAGAGTTGTATCCCTGCTGTATACTGACCAGTGACGGTGATCCAATCAAACTGTTTAGGAAGGTGGAAGTTGTATGAGACACTGGAGATGCCAACGAACCCAAACTTGTTGACCTAAAATGGAGTCGATAGCCCAAGTAAGCATCGAATCAAAAAAAAA